GCAGCATTATTTATAATACCCAAAAGGAGGAAACAACTCAAATGTCCATCAGTGCATAAATGGATAAACAAAATGTGGTATATTTATACAATGGGATATTATTCAGCCTTAAAAAAGAGTGAAATTCTGACACATTCTACAATATGGATGAATATTGAAGATTTTATGCCAAGGGAATATGTCAGACTCAAACAAATGTTGTATAATTTTCATCATATGAATTACCTAGTGTACTAAAATGTATAGATACAAAAAGTAGAATAGTACTTGCTAGGGCCAGGGGGAGGGAATGATGGGGAGTTTTTGTTTAATGGCACAGAATTTCAGTTTGGGAAAATAAAAATCTTCTGGAGATGGATGATGATGATAACTGAAAAATAATGTGAATATACTTAATGCCACTGAATTGTAAACTTTAAAATGCTAAATCCTATGATATGCATATTTTACCACAATTAAAGAACTGGCAAAAATTAGACCTACATGTTCTCTGTCTATGAAAATATGTACTTAATATTTAAAACAGATAGCAACAGGTATGTTAAAATATGATATGCATGTAAATGCATAGAAAATTCCAAACAGGTGAGAGAAGACTATTGAGATTTTGTATTTATGTTTGCTGACACATTTTTCTTTGTTACAGTCCTGCCGTTATCTCTTAATGATAATGTATTCATATCTTATACTAAAAAACATCAATTAGCAATAAGGAAATCACTATAATACACAAGGTGTTAATTTCTTATAAGCACATACACATTATACTAATAAAACAAGAAAAAATATGCAACTTGAGGAAAAAATAAAACAGTGATTTCAATGATTTCATCACATGATTTATTTTTATACTTCCAAGAAGATGACCATATTTTCCTTTTGTATAGAGAATCACAAAAGTTGAGTATTAGAATTAGGACATCAATTAAGAAAGGTAGATATGAAATCGCTACTTCCTCTTTTAGAAACACCCTTATGCCTAACCTTTTGCTTGAACCTAAGAAGATGATTTTTTTTTTTTTCAGGGAAATGAAAAAGGCAAATACTGAAAGAGAGAGGCTAGGGGCAAAAAAACAGAAATTTCAGGGACATTGGTGTCATATGAATCACGAAACACAAAAATGCCTAGGATCTTCAATAACTAATAAAGTCTCATGTTATAATAATCTTCATCATGTGTTTGCTGATCTCAGTAAGGTAGTTTAATAACACTAAAAATAACTCATACTCTTAACCACATCAAGTTGTTTTAAACGAAGGACCTTCAAAAATGAAGGCATAAGCCCCTTGTTCTATTTGGATCAATGTGTCTGAGTACCTGCTTGATTCTTCTAAACCCTGTTTAATCTGAGTACATAGTTCTGTCTACTTGTCTCACATTACTGCCACATCTATCTGATATACTTCTCTTTGAATAAAGTCACTTAAGAGCTTCTGCTCCCAAAGGACAAATAAAACTTGTAGGCTTTTAGATATTGTTTCTGCAGTGGTAACATTGGGAGTGAGGAGATTCTATCAACAGTAGCTAACATATTTTCATAGATTACATCCCTCTAATCATTATTTCAACAAATGGGCACTCTATTATGGAAACAACATATAGACATTGAGTTATTTTATAAAATATGGTAATTTTAAGAACATAGCAGATTGCAATAGCATTTTGGGCATTTATATTATTGCAACTCATGCTCTTTTAATGGCAACCCAGCCACTAGGTAACAGTAATGATGTGTATTCTGAAAGTATTAAACATCCACAATTGAGAATTACTTTCTGAGGAAACAAGAATTCATGAAAAAATTATTTTTTCCAAAAGAGTCCCTTGGTTCTATTTAAAAAGTGTGGGTCTAACTGGTTAAAAGGATAAATACTATCAATGAGGAAAAACTTGAACAGAAGTGAAAACATTACCAGTCTAAGCTTAAATAAACAAACCAACCTTTCTCTACACAGCAACTTAAAGACAAGTGAAATCTGGACACACAGACAGTATCTCTCTGCCTTACACAGACACACACACATTATCCTAATTTTAGATAGATGGATAGATAGATATCACATTTATGTATAGATATATATGTGGAGTAGAATCATTCTTAACCACTTTTAACTAAACAGTTTTTGTGCCAGATAATTTTGCCGTTCTCTCTCCAAAGTATGACAGTTGCTCCCAGCACGTTGAATGACTACACCATTTCTTATGCGGTAAAAGCAAAATAGTACTGAAGTAATATATACATAACTTCAGAATCCATCACTTAAATTCTATTATTAACAAGAATGAATTATGTTTGTTCACAAATGAAACTTGTAGATGGGGGAAAAATAACCTTTTTTAAAATCTAACCATAATGCTTGTAAAAAACTCAAATGTGAGTTACCAAAAGAAAGTTAACAATGTGGGAAAGAAATTGTAAACATTTCTTTTTTTTAATCACGAAAGTGAGTAGGAGTTTCAAACCAGGTTGCTACACATGAACATTTGTTCTTGTGCCTGTGTTTGTCCTAAACGCCTTGAGTAAATACAATTTGTTACAGGGTAAGTATAATGAGTTTGTTTCTCTTCTTAGTGGTAAGCTCAGAAGTAGACAAGTGACTCAGTTCTAGCTTTTGGAACAGTTTTATCACTCTTAGAAGTGAACTCAGAAGAACGAACCATGTTCTCTCTTTGACATCAGTGTATAAGAATGTAGCTTCTACTCTTTTTTGACCATAAAGGAGGGAGATGACCCTACAGAGGATGGCAGGGGCCAAAAGTAGGCAGTAGTTGGGTCCTTGAAAGCATCACTGAGATGCTAAATTAACCAAACACTGCTGTACTTAGGAACATCTTATTTGAAACAATATATCTTATTGTTTGAATTTTTATATTACTCCTTGCTG